AAGGAGGGAAGGAAGGAAGGAAGGAAGGAAGGAAGGAAAGAAAAGCCTGATGGGCAGAAGGGACCACCTAGAATTGTCCCATCTCATCTCTACCCATGCTAGATCTCTTTCTGATAAGACAAAAAAAAAACCCTCAGTGAAAGGGTGTGACTGTTCATCTCAATGATCCCCCACTGGACAAGTCAAATAAAAATAGTTTCTTCTCCCTAGCCTCTTGTACACAAAACAGCTATGTCTGAACTAGAGATGATGAAGTCTTTGGGTCTACAGCAAGCCAGGAGATGAACTCATGGTAGGTCAGATGCTTCAGTGACAGTGTACGTGCGCTTCGGGGCTCCACCAGGGCAGTTGCCTCCTGACAGCACAGGGAAGAGCGATTCCATTGTGATTATCTGGCCTTTACTCTCTGCAAGACTATTCTCGCTAGCCAAGCTGGTGAGCAACAATGAGATGCTCAGACCTTACCTAGACACAGGAGTTGAATAACCCAACAATATCAGCATCTGGCAGGGAACATGCTGTGCACAAGGACCCCCACACTGAGGGAGGGTGTAGTAACCTGGTCCAGCACAAGCAGGCATGAGCCACCAAGTCATCTACGCTGGCAGTGCTAAAGGACCAGATGACGTTTCTGCCTCACAGGCTGGCACCTCATCATTATGGCTGTGTTTCTGTTGTCAGACCAAATTACCTCACTCGCAGCCTTAAAATAGAATCCAGCCTAAAGGTGCTAGCTGCTCAGAGGAAGAAGAAGGCTTTGCCTGACACAGATCCTAGATACTGAGCCAAGGGAGAGGGTTGCGAGCTGGACCCTAAAGTCCTCACTATCCAAAAATCTATGATTCCTCTCATCTCTGGCAACCTGAAGGACTCAGCAGTGCCATGATATTGTGTCTTTCCAAATCAGAAACAGGTGGACCTGATGTTCTATGCCCATTACACTCCCACTCATTCATTCAAACTTCTTCCTACGGACTGGAATGGGAACTTCTCTTCTTGTAGATCTCTTTCCCCTCTCTCTTCTCTTTTCCTCTCTCCCCTTTCTCCCCCTCCCCACTCCTCTTCATTAGACCCTCCTTTCCCACAAGTACATCTCCTACTGTTTGCAGGCTTATATTTGCTCTTCCAACCAAGCCAAAACAAACCTACCGACCCTTCCAGCTCCTCATCTACAGTAAATGCTTTTCTGCCCTGTGCCACCTCCTCTCCTCCAGACCTTCCCCCAGAATCCATTTCCAAACATTCAGGCCTAATACCTTCAGTGTCAACCTCGCTGATACTCCTCATCCTCGCGGTTGCTACTAAGGAAATCCTTATCACTGAATACATGCCAAATGTCCACGGAGAGGTCCCTTCCCTCATTAGAATGAACGTTCTTGATGACAGGGACTATCTCTTAGTTGGCATGTTACACACACTCCCTGAGCGCAGAGATGTCACAAAAACAAAACAAAAAGCTCGAGGAATGAATGCATGAGTGAATGAGGGAATGACAAACAGATGGGTATTGACTGTGCCATATCTAGAGCCCTCAAAGCAGACAGCACGGCCCCCTGGCCTGGCCTGTTCCTGTGATGGGGGGAGGGGGGAGGGAGCCCAGCATGCCCTCTGGAGCTTCATGCTTACTACACAATAGAAGCCACTTCATTGGTTTTCTCACTTTCAACCCAGACTCTGCTGCTCAGGATACAGACACATCTACCATCTAGTCATTATGTGCTCTGAGCGACTTATTCTCCCTAAGCCTCAGTCTGCCCTGGGGAAAAATGGACTCTTCTTAGAGATATGCGGAAATGAAGTGAAATAAAGCAAAGTATGTGCTCAGAACTCCGGACAGGATGGGAGCAGCTGAACGGGAAGGCTGGTGGAGAGACCCCAGGAGGTGCAGTGAGAGTCTCAAGTGGAAATAAACCTAACAAGCGTTGTCTTTAGTTCAGTGGTATTTATTCTTTACATGGCCAGCAGCGGTGGGAAGCTCTAGTATCGTTTTTCAAAAGGCAGAACTACTGTTTCCTTCCTCATCTCAGCAGGTAGACACAGAACTGCAGAAAGAACAAGAAAAATCTGGTAAGACACACACACACACACACACACACACACACACACACACCCTCAGTCTACTAGGCTAGCATTTCCCAAGGCCTCCATCTGGCCCCCTAAGAACTAGTAGATTATTTACCTCCCCATGCCAAGTTGTGTGTGTGTTGGGGGAAGGGGGCTGGCTTATCAACTTATTAAATGGATTGAAGTGTAAACACACATTCATCTCCAGCCCAAATCCAAACTCTAATCTCTTATGTAGTCATCAGTAGGTGACAGTTTGGGGATTTGAGTCTGCAGAAGACAAGGTCCAGGACGGAGGCCAAGTCTACGCTGGCTGATCTTGGATTGCCATGGCCTGGCAGGTGGAATCAGCCACCTCACCTCAGCTCCTTCTTCACTGAAGTGCTGGCAAGAACACGGCAGGACCCGAGGTTTCCCAGCCTCAGAGCCAAGCAACAAACATCCAGTGGCCCTCAGCCCCATGCGAGGTCTTTTGGGGACAATCTTTGCAGACTTATAAATGAAGGACATAAAGAGAAACACCACACCAAAAGCAGCAATGTATCACAGCCAGTAAAATGGAGCCTAGAAGACACAATGATGCACATGGACTTTGTCAAGACCTCACTGTTAGTATTTCAGAAACTTTGCAAGCTGTTTGCTAATCTACCGGTAGCTTGAAATCAGCCCTGGCAGGAGAGTTTTCACCAGGGAAACTGGCAAGCACTGAAAACCAAGTCTTCTCTCCACCCATTTAGAATCAGTGAACCAGCACTCCACTTAAAACATAAGCCTTTAAGATAAACGGAGAGAGTCATTTTGTATGCAAGCTCCTAAAACACAAAGACCCAGGTTAAAAATCCCCAGCTCCAGCTTCAGTGGATCAACCTGTAATCCTAGCTACTCAGGAGGCTGAGATCTAAGGTTCTCAGTTTAAATCGGGAAAGTCTGTGAGACTCTTATCTCCAATAAATTACCCAGAAAACCAGAAGTGGTGCTGTGGCTCAAGTGGTAGAGCGCTAGCCTTGAGCTGAACTGCTCAGGGACAGAGCCCAGGCCCAGAGTTCAAGCCCCGTGAGCAACCGGGAAAAAAAAAGAATCCCAGCTCCACTAACTGGGTGACCTTAGGTAAATTAGTTCACCCCTCTGAGCCCAGTTCTTCATGTGGATCTAACATCCATGTATCAGATGCCTCCTATGCATCAGGTAGGGTTCCCAGTGTCTACAGATACTAATTCATCCGTTCTTCCCAGCTCGTGGTGGGGAAAATGTGGTTACCTCCAGTGCACTGATGAGGAACATAGACAGAATAGACTAAGGAACTTCACCAGAGCCACCCAGTTAGCAAGTCCAGGGCTACTGGTAGCTGCACAGACAGGCAGCCCAGCCCAGAGCTGGCCCTTATCTTCTTGTCCCCGCCCCCTGTCATAGCCATCACTGGCCACCTCTGGCTTCAATGGACTTGAAATGTGCCTGATCCCATAAAGAAGAAGAAAGAGTGTTGTTACAGAAAAGTGGATGGAGTAGGTCACCACAGTAAGTGAAATAAGCCAAACTCAGAAAGACAAATCACGCATATTTTCTATGTACAGTCCTGAAAAAAAAATCAAAACAAAGATATGATGGTAATCTATGTGTGGAGAGGGTGGAAGGAGAGAGCCATGGGATGGGGAATATGATTGAATACCTTATACATATGTATAAAAGTCTTTTTTTTTTTTAAGGCTGGGAAGGTGGCTTAGTGGTAGAATGCTCACCTAGCACACATGAAGCCCTGGGTTCAATTCCTCAGTACCACATAAACAGGAAAAGCTGGAAGTGGTGCTGTGGCTCAAGTGGTAGGTGGCAGAACTTTAAAGGGACAGAGTTTAGTGCAAGGCAATTCATTCGGACACGGGTCACTGCCCTTGGGAGGGATGAGCATTGCTCTCCAGTTAGTTGGCATGGGTGAGATTTTATAACGTGGGAGCCTGACCCCTAAAACTCCCTGGCTCTGAACGTTACCACGTCAACCCTTGCATCCACATCATCCCCGCTGTCACCTCTTACTGTCCTCGCTAGAACTGTTGAGAAGCTGGGACCAGGTTCTTAGTCTTCCAGAGCTGTGAGCTAAACCAATGCCTTTTCTTTACAAATTACCAGCTTCAGGTATTTACTTGCAGCAATGGAAAACAAATACAATATGGCGGAGGGGCAGGGGGAGGGGGGTGGGGGGAGAGGGCCATCTCTGGACTCCCGGATTACGAGCTGTGCAGGGTCACGCATGCAACAGTTAGGCCACCATCTCACCTCTCCACTTGTGTTTTCTCACACCCTGCCAACTACTCCTCTACTGAGACCCCAGGGAAGACTCCCGAGGCCCTGAGATTTCCCCAGGCAGAGGGAGCGACAGTGACACTCAGCCCAGGCATCACAATGACTCTGCTTGTCCTAAAGGCAACTCTGGACTCCACCAAAGCAGACACAGTCCCAGTGTCAGCCGGGCAACCTCCCAATCCCTCCTCCAGCCCCCGCCCCTGGCTCCAATGTAGTATGTGTGGATGGGAGAAAGCAGCCAACTTCTTTGCCGAGCTCTCTAACAAGTTCCTTGGGTCTGTTTGTTAAAGAAAAATTCCAGTGGGCGCATCCAACACATGGAACTCAAGTCGAGAAATTATATTTATCCACCCCACTGCCAAGGAGATCACATGCCCCGTGACTCATTCCAGATGTGTTCAAAAAACAGAGTCTCTGTGTGGAAGCCCAGATCCCCCAATTCCAGAGAGAGTCGGATTAAGAGAAGTCCATGCTCCTGTCCCACCCAGGAGGCAGTTGGCTGACTCCACCCCGTGGAGGCAGGGGGAGGATATTACCATACTCTTGGAAGGGAAAGGTGGTAAGAATTCACATCATCCCACAGGGAGGAACTCCCAGGCCTACCTGTAGCTCCTGGGCTCCCATCCTGCAGGGAAGAAATGATGTACTGGAAGACGCTGCTGCTTCTGCTATTGTATCAGAGTGCTCAGGCGACTGTGGCCCGCAGGTGGAACCCGGGTGAGTTGCTTTGTACTCATTTCTTTGATGCTCCTTTGCCTTTCTGCAGTATAATCAGGGAGATGGGTCGGAGGGGATAAGCAGAAGGAAGGAAATCAGAAGCCCTGTGGCCCTTTTTTATAGATAAAAAATAGTAATTCATCTCTGCCAATTGCTGTACTCCTGGCATAGCCTCCTTCTGATGAGAAATAGTACTACAGGGCAAAAAAAAAAATCTAAAGCTGTAGATCTGGGACCTTAGGTACCAAACCCAAAGGATTTCCCTTCTGGCCTGCCAGAGGGCTCCTGTCCACTTCATAGAATACGCGCAGACTCTCCTGGCTTCCTCTCTAACTGCTGCCACTGAGCAGACCCTCTCAGAGTAGGTGCCACAGGTGCTAGGATACTGAAGGCCTGTTACATCATGGAACAGAGCAAGGGGCTCTCAGCCTTGGTAGCCAAGAGGGAGACCTCTGCGCTGTCCCTGAACTGGATGCATCTTTGTAGTCAGACACAGTTGCCCAATGGCAGGTGAGAAAAGATAAACACGTCAGCATCCCTTGGCCCACCATCCGCTGCCAAGCCACCATGAGAAGAAAGGGACTCTTAGGAAGGAGGTTCCTTTGTCATTGATGTCCCCTCCCTCAGGATGACGCCCTTTAGAGCTGGGATGGCATCTTTTCTCGGTGCCTGAGAGCCCTGACAGCACCTCGAGACAGTATATTGCTGTCAGGAACTAAGGCAGCAACAATTCCTAGTGTCCATTCTGCACCAGTCTCAACTAAACTGTTGCCACTACTAAAGTCAACATAGCTCAAGCTCCCAGCAAGAACAAGAGAGAAAATAAGGCTTCCACTAATCAGGTCTGACCCAAGTGAGATGAAGGTGGGCACAGTGGCATGGGACCCTCTCCCCTGTTGAGGACAGAGTCAGGAAGGACAGAGAGACCAGTGTGGGAGCAGAGAAGTGCGAGGCGAGGGAGCAGAGCCACAGTGCTATTTGGGATTTTATTCCCTCACGCCTAACCCTGATATTAGGGAATTCCCAGTGCTCTGCCCTGAGCTGGGAAGAAACGACCTCTCTGAGAAAGCATCTTCCTTTTCTCCTCATTGAGTCTCCCCTTCCCTCTCCTTCCCCCCCTTATGTACACACACACACACACACACACACACACACATACACATACACACACACCTCCATGCTCATAGTATGTACAGACATTGGGTTGCACTTGCAAGTGCATTGTCAAACAGGGGGTGCTAATTAATGTGCCTATTAAAAAGATAATTAGCAGGGCACCAGTGGCTCACATCTATCACCCTAGCTTTTCAGGAGGCTAAAATCTGAGGATCACGGTTCATAGCCAGCCTGGGAAGGACTGTCTATGAGACTGCTCTCTCCGCTTCTTTCTCATCAAAAAGCCAGGAATGAAGCAGTGGCTCAAGTAGTAGAGCTCCAGCCTTGAGCACAAAAGCTTAGAGACAGTGCCCAGGCCCTGAGTTCAAATCTCAGAAGTGGCAGGCAACAAAAAGATAAGAGTACTCTTCCTAATGCATAAATTGTTAGAAAGCCAAAAGAGATGATCTGATGGACAATAGGACATCAACACTGCAGCCATTTCACACCCTAAGGTTTAAGTTCTCATTCTAATTGGCTGGGTGATCTCTGGCAAGTCCCTTAACTTTTCTGAGTTTTAGCAATAGTTAGCAACCGTTAAAGGGGAAATGTTTTCCTTCAAGCAAGGTAGAGGCTCTCTGCACAACCGCATCCTAAGGAGGGAAGCTGGTTCCCTCCTCCCTGGGGAAGGTTGGTCTGCGGCAAGTTCAAGGATAGCCAGATCCAAGCCCGGTGAATCCAACAAGGAGGCATGATGCGGCAGCCAGACCTATGTGAGAGATTCAAGATGTGTTTACGGCCCCCAACTGATAGGGAGCTCCTTCAACGTGCATCAAAAGTCTTCTTAGAGTTGTATTTTTTTCTTTTTACTTTTCACATTTGTTTTGCAATTATACCAATACCTAATTCCTACCGTTTTAAGACCAAATCAGAGACACACCCAAAGGTGTAACAATTATTCCCAATATATCCCTTCCACCTTCATCCTATCTCCCACTCCACTGCAGCCCTGATTGAAATCTATCCCCTTGCAAACATCCTGGGAACAACCTCTCCAGTAAGATCTCCTTCCGCCTCCCCCTTCACCTCCCCCCTCCTCCTCCAGCTGATTCCCTCACTCAGAAATAAGCTAAAAAGGGAATATACATGCTGCTGGGCTGTCCCTCTTCCCGCCATTCTCCCAGTTTCCCCCCTGAGACCTGCTCTCTAGGATCCCGCCCTGGAAGGAGTGATTCTTTCCATGCCAGGACCCAGGGCTGCTCCTTGCAGCCCTGCCAGCATGACTAAGACCCATGACTCACCTGTGGTTAGTGTGCCCAACCTAAGAACCCTAGAAACACACACACACACACACACACACACACACACACACACACACACACGCCTCAGGTCCTCCCATTTGACAGAAGACCCACTCAACTTTTTAAAAAGTGGAAGCTATGTATATATTAATTGATGGGCTGGGCTGGGAAGGTGGCTCAGTGGTAGAGCACTTGCCTTGCATGCCTGAGGTCCTGGGTTCGATTCCTCAGCACCACATAAGCAAAAAGAAAAAAGCCGGAAGTGGTGCTGTGGCTCAAGTGGTAGAGTGCTAGCCTTGAGCTGAAGAGCTGAGGGACAGCGCCCAGGCCCAGAGTTTAGGCCCCACGACCAGACCCCCCCCCAAAAAAAATTGATGGGCTGTCTCTATGGTGCAAAACCTGTATATTTTTTTTCTTTATGAAACAGTGTGGTAGGGAAGACAGCCTTGCAGGTGTGTGGTAAAATCCAAGCCATTTTCACATGTGCTTTTTTTTTTTTTTGGTCGGTCATGGGGCTTGAACCTAAGCGCTGTCCCTGCACTCTTCAGCTCCACAGCCACAGCACCATTTCTGGTTTTCAGGTGGTTTATTGGAGATAAGAGTCTCACAACCTTTCCTGCTCAGGCTGGCTTTAAATTGCAATCCTCAGATCTCAGCCTCCTGAGTAGCTAGGATTACAGGTGTGAGCCACCAGCACCTGGCCACCTGTGCTTTGAGAGTTGTATATGCTCTGCCACAGACACACAGGGACCAGTGCTTGTGTTGATGACACCTTACTCACTGCAGGCAGATTGTCACCCCGCCTCGTGAGACCTCCACCACGTCAGGAGGCAGGTCCTGCTGTGAGCACTTGCTGGCAAGAAGAGCAGAGGGTAGGTGAAGAAAGGAAGTGCCCCAGATGGTCCTGCTGGATGGAGGGGAAGAATGGACTGGCATCCAATACATCTGGCACTAGTCTTACTGTCCCATTCACTTCCCCTCCAAAACTTCATGTCCCGGTATGGTAGAGCTTTCCAAGACTGTCCTTCTCCAAGGCTGTTGCTGGAGACCTGCACACAAGAACCAGGCTAAATCCAAACAGTAGCATATTTCCAAAGGGTTGGCACAGGAGAAAAACAAAGTGAGGGAGGTCAGAAGACTCTGGCCAAAGATCTTCCATAGGCCAGAGCTTTCCCTCTCTCTCCACCCACTGTCATCTCCATAGTCTTGCTTCCAGGGACTTAGTAAAAACAGGGTGCTTGTGTGGGCTGGCTGTGGTCTGCAATCTGCCTCCTTTCCAGCAAGCTCCTTGGTACTGCCTGGTTGGTGAGTTACAATGAACATATGACAGGGATGGAGGAAGGTGGGAATTTCAAGCTGGCCTGTCAAAGAGAAGTTTGTCAAGCAGCACGACAAGGTAGGTCATTCCAGCCCTCTGGCTGGGTGTCCAGGCAAGACGGTATGCAGGGGCTAACACATGGGGAGATAGCAATGGCCTCGATGAAATAACGTAAAAAGAGCTTCTTCCAGGCAAGACCAGGGACCCCTCAGAGACAAGGGGAAGGAAAGGTGGAGACCGAAGTCAATGTTACTTTCTATATGGTATCTTGCACTCTGTTTATGTACGTTCATTGCAAATCTTTTTCAGCGTGAATTTAAAAAAAAATAAATGAGCAAAAAGAAGGTCATTTAACAAAGTGGTTGTTTTCCTCCCGCTGTACGCAGGTGCGCAGGTACAGGTGTGGAACAGGCACTCTGGGGTTGTGCCTTGTCCAAGGGGTTACAAAGGAATAAGAAGAGAGCAAAAGAGCACACCTAGGGGCTATAGACATTTGGCCTTGCAGGTCTCATGATTATAAACTGAAGTTAGAGATTTTCTTTACTATGTGATTCATTTAAACCCCACTTAAGAAATAAGGTATTAATAACCAAATACATTCATTCATCGCTAATAACTTCACTGGCTATTCAAAAGCAAAGAAAGCACAGTCTTTGAGCAGATATCCCTACAAGGAGACAACATTGTTTGTTTTATCAGTGAGCTTAGTTTTGGGGTGTGGATGTAGAGTGAAATCTCTGTCCTGACTCAAATTGGGTGGTAGAGGGCAAGTTCCTTTATTTCCAAGTTTCTTCATCTGAAATGAGAAGTTAATACTTTACTCTCTGAGTCCAGAAGAAAGCACCGAGACCACTGACAGGTACCTGTAGCTCCTGAGTTATCAATTACATCTGAGATCACATTTTAACAGCATAACTCTGAGATCCAAAGGTGTCTTTCAACAGAAGACATAGACAAGACATGGTTTAACACCTGAATCAGAAATGTGTGGACCCAGAGCCTGGAGTAGCTCAGCCCATGTGGCATAACACAGTCCTGTTGGTGGATCCTGAATTATAGATGCCTGTTTGTCTGGGGAGTGGAGAAGGATGTGTGTACATATATGTATACACACATGTACACATGCACATATGCATGTTGTATACACGTGTCTATACATGTGTGTATTGCAAAGATAAATTCACAGGCATGTAGATGAGATGTATCTATACATACATACAGGTGTGTGCATCTATGTGCACACAAACATCTACGTGTATGCATGTGTGTACATGCATGTGCATAGACATACATATGTGCAAATAAGTATTTACATGTATAGTATGATTCCTATACTCACCGCACATACTTCCTACAGCAATTAGCCTCTCCCCTACTCCACAGGGCTGAGGCTGTTTCCAAGTATCTCCACCAAAGTATCTCATTCTTAGGTATGAGAATAAAAGAGCTGTTGGAAATGAGTGGCAATTGTTGATCTCGGTTTTGAATCAGGAAGTACTTTCTTCTAGTCTCTCTGAGAATGAGAGGTCCACTTGGGTGAGCATGCTGAATGAGGAAACAATGGAGCACAGTAAGTTTCCAGGAAGGACCATTGGATGGCTGTGATTAGAGGCAGACAGAGAGCTCACCCCGATGCCATTCCCTCCCTAGCCTCCCACCCCCTCCCCATCTGCTGGGGAGGGGGTGAACTCTGTTAAAGGAATAGCACCTTTAATTCTGCAATAAAATAGAAATTATGGGAGGAAAAGGAAAGAAACTGAAATCATTTCTTCCTCCTCCTTCCTTTCATGTGAGAAGAAAAGCATACAGAAAAATAACCGCTCACACTTCCATTTCATCCCCTACTAAGCAAAAGGCAGAGGCAAAGTGCACCCTTCCCACCTTGTGCTTCTACTTGGCACTGATGGGCAAACTGAAACAGAAAGCCCTATTCATCCCAGCCTTGAAGAACTTGTGACAAACGCCGCCATGCCGCCAGGCGCCAGCCATCAGTGCTACCTCTCACCAGCTTTTTCTGGGAAGTGGCAAATTCCTGCAGTGAGCTTTTCCTTTAGCGGAAATGAAACATCAAAGTTGTTTCATTTTTGACCACTTGGCATGGAAATCTTTCTAAAATACTTGATGCTGCCCCTGCCCTCTTTAGCACATTGAACATAATTTAGTACCTTAAATATAATCTGCCCTTTTCTTGAAGGCTCAAGGGCACAATTATCTATGAGCAAGGCTGTCAGTAATGATTACGCTAAGTATGCTGTACAACCTGAAGGGCATGCAAATCCATCATAGCCTATTTTTTTTAATGTTTTCTTTCTGGTAGATCACAACCAAGTGCCTTAAAGCAGCTAAGTCTTTTCTACCATCTGGCAACAGGTTTGAAGTCATTTCTCTACAGTACCCACTATGCAGGGAGGTAGTGTGGCGGTAGCCATGTCCTCTCCTGGCCTCATACAATCCCTGATCATTCCCGAACTCCACCACATTCTGTCTTCTCAGCTAGTTCCCAGCTCCTTTTATCTGCGTCCAGCCATCTTCTGCCAGCTACCATTTCTAACTGAGACCATGGGAAAACAACATTGTCAAGTTGTCAACGTCATTCTACATTCACTACTGCGTTAGCCAGCCCTGGCTGAAACCCTAAGCTCGCCCACAGGGGCCTCAGGAGCTCAGTGCCAGGGTCTTGTAGCAACTCTCTTCTTTTGCCTCCTATATTCAGGTTCTTGGCAGGTCTAAGTCAGATGACTGAAGTAGGCAGAACTATACAAACCCGCAACTATATACGGATAAAAAGAAAAAGGTTGGGTTTTAGAAATGTTTGTCGTTTTAGGGACTCAGTTGTGGAATGTGAGGGTCACTTGCTTGCTTGCTTCTGTTTCATTTGCTTCAGTTTAATGTAAATTCCCTAGCGTGAACATATCCCTAGGCAGATACATTTTTCAAAACTTCCTCACGCCAGGTATAGTAGTACATGCCTCTAATCCCATCTAGGCAGGAGGAGGAGAATCTATCTCAAAAGCCAAATAAAATCAATAAGACTAGAGGCATAGTTCAAGGTGTAGAAAATTTGCTTAGCAAACACATCACCCTGGGTTCACTTCCCCAGAACCACATACACAAAGGAAAACAATCTATTAAGATAGTTTGGATCAGCAGTCAGGCTTGAAATGACTGGTCTGACAAGCCTGGATCTTTCTGGGATATACTACAGGACACATCCACCATAGACTCACTTTATGCCTACCCCTATGCCAGATAGGGACAAGGTCCCATGTATGTACCCATCTGGTACACACAGAAACCCAAGAACTCATCCTCTTGTCTCTTCTAGCCATGCTGTTCCCTGCTGCCCATCGGCCAAAGAAGTCTTCCTCCCTGCCCTTGAACCCAGTCCTGCAGACCTCCCTGGAGGAAGTGGAACTGCTCTACGAGGTAGGTGGAAAGAACCCATCAACCCAAATCACTCAAAGGCATTGCACCTGCTCCGCCTCTTTGAAGAACTTTTGCTGGGTCCCTGAATATTAGTGACCTGGCCTGCAGGGAATGGCCCAGCCTAGTCTGTGGGAGTCAGAGAATGCTATCAGGCTAAAGAATGGTGTGCCTGGTACAATCACTCCTTCCTCATGCGCTATAGCAAGAATGGCTTTAGAAGTTCGATCTGAATGAAATGAAAGATTAGCTTTATCCCATAAGTGCTACTGCCTGCACCCAGGCACTAGAGTCTAACAAATTCCCAAGCAAAGATTTTGTGGAATGACTTGTCAGTCATGTTCAGACAAGGCTACCTGTGGTTGTCTCAGCCCAACCTGCTGTGGGCTGTCCCATTCACTGTCTCATTCACTCAGGTAGATTTCTAGAAGTCTGGGCCACCCTGAAGGCTCTCTTCCTCTATCACTTCTACTTGCTTCACTAAGACTCCTTCCCATAAACCCCTCCAAATCACAGGATAAAAAAAAAACTTTTGAGGCTTCTTGGTACAGGTCAGTGGTAAGATCCTGGGTCCAAGGTCTAAGCTTTAGTTCCTCAGCTGTGTGAGCTTTCTTAAGCCGCTATTTTTCTCTGGGCTTGAAGTTGTTCAATGATTATATGAGTTCAACTGTGATCCCCTCAAATTCCTCTGCAACTTTGACACACATTCTGGTTCTATGCACTAAAAACTGTTTGGTTAAGAAAGAAACAGTTTTCAGGAGCTGAAAACTGGAGATTTCCTACCTTGCCTTGTGTGGCAGACTGGCAGATGCATAGTCTTTTCACAAATGAATTCTGGGAATCACAGAGCAGAGCCATTTTAGAAGACAGCCCCAATATAATGGAAGAAAATGAAAGGTGGAGGCAGAGAGAAAGGATGTAGGATTTGGAGACTCATCATTACAGGCTCAAGAAGCCTGGTACTGGGCAAGAAGGCAAATGACAAGGTCTGCCCCTGTCCTGCAAGCTAGTGAGAAATGAGGACAAATCTCTGCCTACTGCTAACTCTCTAGCACAATTTCCCACATCCTTTCAATTCTCTGCATCTGTTTGAAAAATATCTGGAATAGTCCATTTGAAATTTGGATCTTTGCTGGGTGAGTGAAAGTGATCCATTTGTGACTAGAAATAATATCTGGTCACCTAAATCAAGGCACTGTGGCTTTATGCCAGGCTCTGTTAGATTTGCCCATATTTGTCTTACATACCACTCATGGCATCTCAATGAAGTAGATGTTATTTTTACACCAGGAAATTCAAATCCTTTGTCCACGGTCACTTAATAAGTGGGAAGAAAGAACCGGAACCAAGCTGTCATAGATTCATTCCAAAGTCTTTTGTAGCTACCTTCTTCTATGAACATCTATGCAAATGACCTTCTTTGTGTCTTCAGCAATGGCTGGCTTCATGTCTTTCCACATCCTGTGCTTTTCCCCAGTTCCTGCTGGCTGAACTAGAGATCAGCTCTGACCTGAGGATCTCCATCAAGGATGAAGAACTGGCCTCCTTCCGGAAGGCCTCCAATTTCCATACCATCTGCAATGATGTGATTCCTAAGAGTATCCCAGACATCCGCAGGCTGAGCGCCAGCCTGGCCAGCCGCCCTGGTGTCCTCAAGAAAGAAGACTTTGAAAGGACAGCACTGACCCTCGCCTATGCAGCCTACCGCACAACCCTGTCCCAAGGGTATCAGAAGGATATCTGGACCCAGTCCCTTGTTAGCCTCTTCCAGGCCCTGAGGCATGACCTGGTGCGGTCCTCAGGACCTACAGTGTCTCCCTGAGCAAATGGCCCACACCAGGACCTTGAGGCGGAGGCCAACACCCACAGACATCCAGAAAGTTTATTGTCTATTCTACTTATAGAGGCCAATAATCAAGTACACACCACCAATACTGAGTAGCAGACATAAAATGAGTCACCCCAATGGTAGGTTGCTTTCTATTGGTTCCTGATGGACACAACTAATGTGTGTCATAATGCAACATGAGCTAGAAAACAGACTGGGAATGGTCATGTGGGATACCTTCAAAGGTAGGATGTCTGCTTGGTGACATACAGAATTATAAGGTATGCATGGACACAGAGTGATACACACACACGCACACACACGTGTGAGCGCGCGCGCGCGCACACACACACACACACACACACACACCATAGAACAGAGAAGACCTCATGGAGATTTAGGCATAGCAACAAAGTGGGAGATAGACTCCTTTTGTCTTAAAGGACCAGAGCAATGGGTCGAATGAACATTTTCTCAAAAATTCTATAGTAAATATAAAGAAGAGAAAGCTATACATTCAAATAAATATGTTGTTAGCCCAGGATATACTTGACTTCTCCAAAAGCCATCGAGAAGTCTCAGGCAGAATGTAAGTAATTTTGCCACATGCATGTCTTCACTCCTCCTCTCTGAAGCTATTCTAAGACAGGGAAACAGGAAGGGAACATATAGAAATGCAACCAGTCCATTGATGATTTGCCTTGTGAACAGAGATGCCAAGCTAACTGAGAGGATTCTCCTATGGAAAGAGGTGACACCAATGCCCATACTTGTCTGTCCAAATGCTAAATAATTTAGCATCATCAGAGTTGAGATTTGAGCGCTCCAAATAAAAACGATGTCAGATGATTCAATTTTACCCTTTCAAATGCCAAAATAATTCATTTTAGAAATAGTAATTTAATATATACTTGAACTATATAGAGTTCTAGAGTGTATGTGTGTGAATGTATATACAAATATATATATATATATATATATATGATGTCTTAAGGTTTCATTGGGTATCTTAAGGTAATCACTCAAAACATTCTAATGGAAGAGTGAATGAATCTCTGCAGATTCTTTCTACCTATGTAATTTCTTTAGTCATTTACCCACTGTGAGATGCTACTGGTAGGAGTCTGCATCTGAAAGGTCTTCTAACTGCTGGGGCTCACTCTGCAAGATTCTGTATCTATATCTAGAGAGAGAGAGAGAGATTTACATATATACATATATGTATATATGTAGATATATGTATATATTTACATACACATATATATGTGTATATATATTTATGCAAGTATATATGTACACATATGTATATGTATGTATATATAAATATGTGTATATATATATGGAGAGAGAGAAACATCTCCCCTCCAACCTAGCCCTACACTGTGACAATTTCTTTGGATAGACAAAGGTCTGTGTGCAGTCAGAGTTGGGATTGTACAGAGAAGATGAACCTCACACACAGCTACATTTTATCTGTGACACCTCCTGGATGTAGGCTGGACCAGCAATGCCTCAGTCCCTAGGTTGTGTGCAGTACCCAAACAATCAGCCTTGCAGACCACTCTGAGATGCTACCCTGTCAGAATGGATCTGAGAACTTCCTTCCTTGTCTATCTTTCCCAACACAAGTAGCTGCTCCCAAGGTAGGGTATGTATGAATAAGGGCAATCCAAAAATCACTGGTAGCAATGACAATTCATCACCCCCAAAATAAAAGGCATGTTATGTTCATAAGTCAAGATCTGAATTAAGGTGGCAATTGATGACTGAAAAAAATAATATAAAAAATAGACAGCCTTTTTAAAGGCAAATAAAAACATTGTTTTGGATAACTAGATTCTTATTCTGGAGGCAGATTAATTTTATTCTTAGAGCAGATTAATTTTTCACACACAAAGTTTTCTAAACACCTTGATATACATAAGTAATCAATATGCTTACTATGACCACCTCAAAAAAACCACCTCTATGCCTCATGAATAATAGAGAAGGAAACTGGATAGAAACAAAACTGCCCAATATGCCATATTAACACCTCATTCTACGCATAAACACAACTACATGGGGTTGTATTTCTCCAGAGACTAATTTAGGAATAATACAGGGAAAACTTGCCAATGACTTATGGAAGCATTTCTGCAGTTTCTATACAGCTGGGAAACAGAGATCTAAAATGTTCTAGAAGCACAGGACATCGGTGGTGGCTCATGCCTATCATCCTAGCTTAGGAGGATCACGGAAAGTCAGTGACTCTTATCTCCAATAAACTACTCAGAAAAAGCTGGACGTGGTGTTGTGGCTCAAATGGTAGAGTACTAGCCTTGAGCACAGAGAGGCTCAGGGACAGCACCCAGGCCCTAAGTTCAAGTCCCAGGACCAGCAAAAAAAAAATCTGGAGGCTTCCTTGCTGGTTATCTCTGGTGTCACTTGGCAATGACAAACATCTTGCCTGTTGAAACTTTCATTGCTCTGTCAGGCGATCTTGACTCTAAATCTTATTTCAGAAGGTAAACTGGCCTAAATCTAGGTGTTCATTAAGTGACTTCACACAATATCCCTTTCTTTCATTTAATACCCTACTATTAAATAAATAACATCTAACTTGGATTCTTAACTACATTTAAGTATACAGCATGGTAGTATACGCATTGGTTTTTGGAATTTTTTTTTCATTTTGTTTTGCTTTTCAGGGCTGGAGATCAGACCCAGATCAGACCCTATTTGGCCCTCCCTCCTGAGCCCACAGTCCTTGGACATTTATGTACAACAGACTTCTAAGATTATTTTTTTTTGAAAAACCAAAATTCTAGACCTTTTAAACAACTTCCCTCGGCCCCTTCCTCCCAGCCCTTGGTGTTCATGGTTCTACTTCCTGTTCTTAAGGGTTGAACTGTTCTTTTGAGGCCACAGGGTCTGGGGAGGTGATGGATGCTTGGTGACTGGATCATGTGGCTGGCTGGGCTCCAACCTGGGGTGGGAAAGAGAAAGAAGGAAGGGAGGAAGAGAGGAAGGGAAGGAGAGAGGAAGGGAGAGAGGGAGGGAGGAAACAGAAAGAAGAAAAGAAAGAATGAACATGTTTTTAAAGGAGAATTGTTTAACTGTTTTAGGAACCTCATACAAGTAAAATCTTCCTTGTATTTCATGAACATTGCATTCTGGGGAGTGTTTTCTTCATCTTGACAGTAGATGGTTCATCTTATTTGATAAATGTCACCCAGGATGTAATAAAAATGGAACAATTAAAATTACTAAACTTACCAGAATTTTATTATCCTAGATTACCTCACCAAAGACTGAAGTAGCTCCTAGATTTGACAGGGAATGTTGATTCCCACCATTCTTTTATTATTTATCATCTCCTGATTAGTTACCACCAGAACACCACTCATGGTCTTGCTCATTCTGAGTTTCAAAATTATTACTCCTCCCCGCAAAAAAAACCAGAAGCTAGAATGTAATAAATGTAATCTTTAAAATAAGCCTTCAACATGAAGGCAAAGAGATGAATGATCATAGTCCATCCTACAAGATAACTGCTAAGATCTGCCCACAGTAGCACTTATATTAGATGTGAAGAAGAACTGAATTTTTGGAGTCACTTCTCGGTCACCTAGTTACTTTATCTTTAGACAGCTGTAGCTATTGCTGCAGATCTTAAGAGACACCATTTCTCAAATCCTATTCATCTCTCTTGATTCTGGCCAGCATCTCCCAAATGAAGATGATGTTGCCATGGACTGCCATTTCAGGGTCTTTTTTGTTCTAGTTTCCTTGTTCCAAATGCTAAGTGCTTCTGCAGATCTGTAAGCAGGAGAAATTCCACAATCTAACTACTGTGGAGGCTTTATCCCTGAATTTACCCATTTCGCCCCATCTTTCCACCTCTATCCTGCATACCAACCAAAGAAGGCCTCCTACTTCCTTTTGAGTAAAGATCCGCAGAGAATACATGCATCCTGGTCTTTTCCTGAAACACCATGTAGACTTTTCCAAGAAGTTCTGAGGTCTTTCTCTTCCAGCTCGTACTTCCTCCCTGCTCAGACCTTTGCATGCCAGGTGTTGAAACGATCTTTGACAGCAGAGAAATCTGAAAGGCTTTATATTGTACGTTCTGGAATGAATTTATCCAGAATTAGTATTATATTTTCTCCCTGCTACCACTGGCATTATCTTCCTAAAACTCAGGTCAGCAAGTGACTCTCCCAGGGAAATTAAAAAAAAAAATGTGTCTCATGCTTGGAAACAAAGCAGTGCTTGGGGAAATTGGATCATGTTTAGGATGATGCTTGCACTCCGGCCCCTAGGATGTTTGAGAAATGGAAAAATAAGCTTTACAAGCTGCCTAGATCCTGCAGAATCAGCAGGCCCCTGCTGTGTCCAATCAGGAACTGCCTTTGGAAGTGATAGTGACTCATTCTTTGCAACTTGCTGATTGGCTTTGAGGGATAGGTGGAGCTACTGCCCCGGTCCCTGCTTCCCATTGGTAAATGGGCGTCAAAGGTGGGCCTCCCAACAAATTTTATCCTGTGACAAAAAGGAATGTCCTGGGATTTTTTTCCCCCACTGCTTTGGAGGCCCAGGCTCCAGGCAAATGATAAGAAACTAATGTGAAGGAAAGAATTTTGAAACAAGTGAAGGTATCTAGGCTTGGGAGAGCACAGCAGTGCCATCTGAGGGCTGCCTGGGCTTCTTGAGCAGAGCAGGTGCTTGTGATAAGTCCAGAGGTCACCAGGGTTTTGCCAATAGTGAGCCAGGTAAGAGACGACACAGGTGCTGCTCAGCACGGGCCATCAGAGAGACAGAAGGTGATGGAGAGCACAGTAGGCTCTTAGTGGTGTGTTTTTGCTTTTGTTTCAAAACTTTTAAATGATTCTTCAAGGCCGTTCCCTAGCAGCAGCCAGAGCGTACTTTTAATTGCTTCTGAGGGCTTTTGCTGACACCTGGAATGAAGTTTACTCTCTTGCTAAGCATGCAGAGCGGGAACTCACCATGTT